GTTTAGCTCTTTGAGACAAATAACAAAATTGTCAATTACTTTTACAATATACCCACAGCTGAGTGTGTGGAGCATGTTCAGTTGTGTCTCAGACTTTGGAACCTTTCATGCACAGCCCAATATGCTAGCCACTGAGCCATATCCAGTACAGTATCACTTATGAGATTCAGTTATTGATATAGGTTTTGTAATTAGAACAATACGACACACTAGCCACAGGTTCAACCTAACAATATCTTACCAATACTACCCATTGTTCTATCCAAAGAATATTTTGCATGCTACCTCATCACCTAGCTGACAGATGCCACTTATACATGTAGTACTTGAAAGAATCCACGATATCACTTGCATGTCTATATGAAATTTATTGCTTACACTACCCTCAGGTCCACTTACGAGAAATCACATACTAACAAAAGATCCATATGTTGAAAGTTTTATATGGCTCAAAAATATTTCATATATTGCCTGTTGGTCAACTAACAAAAAGCCCAATTTATAAGGGCTAACTCACAAACAAACCTATCATTTCACTTGCAGAATATTTAATAAAACTTTCACTAATAAATACAATGATATCTCACATTTGCCACCAACAGGTTTACTGAAAGATATTAAGTATACTATCCATATATCAGCAGGAAATACATCTAATATATGACACTCCTGCCACCTGGATAATATCCCTTTGTGTTCTAACCATAACATATCTCACTTATTGCACAAACATCTATTGCTCAACGTTATCTGTATAATCTTCAGACATGGGATATTCGTAATCGCATACAGCTTTGGGAGTATTCGAATACTTTGGTAGGGAAAATTAAAGTATTCATAATTAAATACAATGACATAGTATTCATATTTGCTGAATGATTTAGTGAATACTTAATACTGTCAACTTCTGTGCTATTCAAATTTCTAGACTGTCATTATTACATCCACATCATGTTAAATCTGGTCAGTACTCTCCAACCACCTTAAAACTATTGTATTACACGATTATTAATCCACTCTAGTCACTTGAGATGGCTACTAAATTTCTTTCAGTGGTACAGGAACACTTCCTACTGATAGATCTAGTCACATCAAAGCAAAGTGTAAGTATTATGTTTGTTTGTAATTAAGCACAAAGCTACCCAATGGGTTATCTGTGCTCTGCCCACCACAGGTATCCAAACCTGGTTTCTAGAGTTGTAAGTCTGCATAAATATTATGAGTGAATTATTTCTACTTCAGAAAAAAACACTTCTAACCTGCTGACACATCTGAAGATAAGCCTTCTTATAATTTTTGTTTATATGAACTATATTCTATGTAAATAATACAATATAAGTAAACTAAATTTCTTTTGCATGTTAAACTATATATATTTTTTATTATTTTCATATACTTTGCATTATATGTTTTTATTATCATTATTATAAACTATATTTTACAGTTAAATAAATATTTCATGTTTTGAATTATATTCATCATTTATAATTATTATATGTTTTTTACTTTAAACTATATATTGTGTTATATATCAGAGATATGCTTTTGTATTTCTAGCTCAATCATGAGGCAGAGCTACAGAAGTCTACATTTGGATCTGGTACTTTTGCCCAGATGTAGCAGCCTACAATAGCAGCATACTGTATATAATCAACTAAATATAAGTCTACACACCCTTGTCAGATGCACATCACTAACAAACTCGTCAATTTTATTGCCAGTACTCTGCAACCCTTCTCAGTGGTGGAGTCAAAAGATTTTCCCAATTATATTCTTCCCAGTTGCAAGCATCTGTTCACAACATTGACAGAGAGCAGGTTTTGATGAAAGCCAACAAAAAGTAATCTCTCTAATTCAAATTAGGACATAATGGCTGATGCTTTGGAAATAACTTTGAGCAGTGGTCCAGCTTCTTTCATGCCATCCCTGGCCACAAGCTGTAGTGTGTGGGAAAAGGAGGGATCATGTTCAGGAAGAAATTTAGATAAATTGTCTGTAAATTTAGATTCATCCAAAAGTTCATCTTCTGAGTCACTATCTGTAGATGAGCTAGCACCATCTCTCACAATAGGTAGTGTTTGTGGTTCAAATCCAGGCAAGCAGAAAGCCTTGATAATGTTGGATGCATTATCAGATGTCACAAATGACACCTTGTTGTTGATGTTGAAGAGATTTATTATTTCATCATATTGAACTGCAATGTTATCAGATGCTCCTTGAAATGCCGACAGGGCAACATGACTGTTTTGCATTTTCCAGTCAAGTATAAAATTACCAGTGACTCCAAGAAAGCTATGTATTTGTCTGCTAATCCACAGTGACATTGATGTTGGGTACACATTCAAAAAATTAATGTAAGCAACTGATATACTTGAGGGAGAGGCCAGAGTTCAGTCGGTAACACCAACATGATGGAACTCAGAATAAAATGATTAAGTCTTTATTGAAGATACCCCAGGAGAAATTGGCAAAATCTAGATACTGGTACATCAAAACTTACTTTTCATGATAGAACTGTGCTTGCAGATTTGGTGACAATACTGATATCTTTTGAAGAGGCAACAGATTTCACCCAAGGTCAGAATATCGTTACCTCCAGTTATGTAGTGCCATGTGTTTATGGGCTGATGACTAAGATTGACAGCATGTAGTCCAGATATAATTTCAATCTTGTCTCTGCACTGAATAAATATGTTCATGCCCGGCTGAGTCAGTATGAGCAACATAGTGCCTTCTGCTTGACTGCAGCATTGTATCCCAGATTCAAACTTGACTGGTGTTTCACTAGACCTATGGTCTATGAATCCAATTGAATGGTCTTGCAGCAAGAAGTCAAGAAAGTTTCCTCAACAAAGTCCTACAACCATGGAACCACAAGGGGAGTGTAAATCCTCCCCTCACAAAAGAAGTAAGCTCTCTAGTTTCTTTGCTGTAGGAAGGTAAGTGTTGACCTCTGTATCCTTTCAAGAAAACATCTACCTCATCTTCAAAGGATACAGAGGTCAACACTTACCTTCCTCAGTGGTCCTTACATTCCTGAAGAAAGTAACTTTCTAGATTATTGGAAGATCGATGAAAAAAACTTTCCCACCCTATCTTTATTAGCCAAATGCTACCTAAGTGTTCCAGCATCCTCTGCCCCCCATTGAGTGTTTCTTTAACACTGGAGACAAAACCCTCAGACCTGATTGATGTCACCTCACTGACAAGATATTTGAGAGACAGATGTTCATAACGAACAATGGACAGTTTTAAAATCTGCCTCCTTAAACAATTTTTTTCTTAAATAAAGTATCATAATCTTATTTGTTAAA